GAGAGAGAGAGAGAGAGAGAGAGAGAGAGAGAGAGAGGAGTGGAGTGGGGTTTAGCATAGAATCGGAGTGAATTTATAGTGCTTTGAATTGCGGCATCTTCTGGTGTGGGTTAGCCTCCTCTCAAATTGTAAGCGAATCATACTATATATGAGCGATGGTACATAGACCTTATTGGCCATCATCTACAATTAACCCTAATTTAATATCGTAGATTTTATTTTTTTTGAGGGGAGACTTGAACTTTTAACTTTAAAAAAGTAAAGTTCTCACAAAGCAATTTGTATTATTGAACCAAAAATCCGATAATGGTCATTAGATTAATTATAAGTTCTTATGTCAAATGAAACACACTTTTAATTTAATGGTAGTATTAAATTAACTCTCTAGATTAAGAATTTAAATTAGGTCAAAAAAACATTTTTCATTTGTAAAATAATTGGAGAATAATAATTTGTAAAATAAAAAGCATCTATTCGCATTGATAAACTTAGTCTATCCTAAATTTTTTAAAACTTAAAATACTTATTTGAATTTAAAATTTATTAGCATGAACAAATTCTCACTATATAAAAAAAATTAAAGAATTCTCTAATTATTTTACGCTCGAAGAGGAGCCAAACCCGAATAGGGTATTGTTTGACATAAAAGGTTGCTCATAACTCAAAGAAAAATTTCGGCTTGACATAATGTGATAGTGAAAAAGTTCAAACGTAATTGTTCGAATAATATTATTGTACCATATCAATTAATATTTACTAAGTCAACAAGTTTGGTCAAATATATCTATTTTTAATAAGATTGAATTAAATTTGTAGATCCAATAAGCAATGTGTGTGTGTGTGTGTGTGAGAGAGAGAGAGTAAAATTCTTTCATTTGTATAATACTATGTTATCGGGGTTCGACAACTAATGCACATGCAGAGGTGCAAGTAAGTTTGAAAATATGCACATCTTGCAAGGGTGTAGAAGTTTCCTATGACTTTTTCTATGTCTTTTTTGGGTATTTATTTTCAAACTTTTTTATTTTTCAATTGGTGGACAGGCATGTCCCAAAAATGAAAAATATATTTTAGTATATGTATCTCATTCTCCCCGTCTCAATATGATCTAAGAGGGTTCTTATATTGGTCATCATCTATAATTAATTCCACGTAAAAAGAATATTTTCACGTCTCGAATATGATTTTGAGATTTTTCTGGTGCACTTACTTTTTTTTCTATTTACTTTTATTTTTTGGGTTGACTTAACACTTTTTTGGATAAAAAATATAGTTTTTGAGGTTTTTTTTTATAGTATCATAGTATTTTTCGAGAAATTAATATGTTAGTGCTTAATGTCTGTCCCTCTTCCTTTTCGTCTGTTATTCTTTTGCCTTCTTGCCTATACTTTTATGTTTGCCCGAAAGGAATGGGCAAACAGCAAAAAAAAAAGGATTGTCTCTAGCCAAAGACCGGCATTCGAGCTCTTCCCTGCTTACTCTTATCAATGCTTCCTTCTGATATAAATATTTTTATTATAGGATGAATTTCATTACGCTTTCACTCTCAGCCTTTAACGGGTAATTTCATTAGTTGCCTTGAAGCAACGTCATAGTTAAGTGATAAGAATCTTTCTTTCTTATGTGTGAGAAAACAATTAAATGAAAAATTTTTATATCTGTTTTCGAGTTAAAGATGACTTTAGACGAAAAAGACGGAAAATTGGGCTTAATGCATTCTTTTTTTAGGCAAAAAAAGCTATGTATTTCCGGCATGATTTTGGGCGTATAATGTGTCTAAATTCCACCAAGTAACGACTAAATTTTAGCCAAACAATTGTTTCTTTATGAGGGAAAAATGATTCCCTAGGTCCAACAATTGATTAATCCACTTAAATTGAGCTCCTCGAGGAACTTTATGAAACAATCAATGCTATTGTAACTTAAAACTTTAATTTTATTTTTTTAGGATTAATAGCAGTTTTAACCCATAAAGTATGAACGTTTTGTTAGTTTAATGTCTAAAGTATTAATTTTGTTAATTTTATCTTTAAAGTTTTCAATTCGTGTTTAAATGATCTTTACATAAACGGACCGTCAAGTTTTTTATAGAATAATCACGTGTTGGGTACGTGATATCTTTTGAAAGAATGACACGTGGTAACATCAGTCAAGAAATTTAACAAATTGTCTGATTAAGGGCTAAAGTGACACATTAAAATTTTAGAAATCAAATTTTTGAAGACTAAACTAACAAAACGGGCATACATTAAGGATTAAAAGTGTTATTGACCCTTTTTTAAATGTAACAACTGAAGTCATCATATATTAATTTATTATAACGATAATTGTTGCACTTTTCCGTTAACATTAATGTATCATTTGATATATCATTAGGTTAAAATATGAAGTTAGATTTTAATATTTAGAAAATATAATTCTTCTCAAAATAAAGAAACTTATTCTCTCCACTATAATGTTCCTTGCCTCTAATTTGTTAACAATTGCTACATTGACATTAAACTTCATTCAATATTAAAAATTCATAGATAAAATAAAAACTTATTTATTAAAAACAATTATACATATGATCCTTGCCCAATCACCTGAGTTGCACTATGCCCTTGAAATGAAATGACTCTTAAAGGTACATACATATGCTCATGGAAACCAATATCAATTAAAGGATTAAAAAACCTTTCATTTCTTTCAAAGTATTCAAAATATAATATTAATTAGCTCAGATCCCACAATTTTTTTTAAGTAACAGGTTATACAAAAATGACACGAACCAATACAAAGATAATACGATCTAAAATGTATCGACACGAAAATGAGATAAACTCAAAATAACACGATTCAAATAATATCACATTAACACAATTTTTTTAATTCATAATTCTTGATCGGATCACCCCCACAAACCAGGAAAATGTTATATAATTCAAATGAAATCCAAAAATTAAAACCTAAATAAATATTATCTATTGGATGAGTATGAGTTGAGTGGGATCCACTGAAAAAATTAATGGGATCCACTCATCTAAAAGATGATATACATTTTAATTACAATTTTTTGTGCTTAATTTGAGTTTTAAAGCATTGCCCGACAAGCTAAACCAATAATAATCCACGTGACAGTTGACCCAAAATCAAGGCAACCAATGGCAGAAGGAGGATTAAATATGAATTAACGTAGATCCCGCAACCTCTCATGTGTTTGGGAAATGGGAGCTTTTCGATTCTCTTTGACTTCACTGATTACAATGACCCATATTTAAGACCCACATCGATCGTGAAGTCTGCTAAACAAGCCATTAAATTTGGTGGGTAACTAAATCCATACAATAATAGGAGTTTTCTACGCTATCGATTTTTTTTTTTTATAATATTGTACCAATATTTATTATTTTAGTTTATATTTTTTTCGTTGTTGTTTGTGTTTTTATTATGCAACCATGTGCAATGTTCTATGTCAATCATTTGGGTTAGACTATAAGAAATTTATTTTTTATGAATATCCTAGTCCAGACGTGATTGATCTGTTTTTGACCAAATTGAAGAAGGAATCAATCGAAATATACATAAGTTAGTCCAAATATCCCTCACTGTTAAATAAAAAAAAAAAATAGAATTTGTTCCTTGAAATGTTATACTGGATACACATAGCACAAATTTCCACTTCACATTGTTTTCGAGTTACAGAAGAGCTTTAAGAAAACGTATTTCTAAGCCTTTCACTGAAATATGCCATTATGTAA